ACCCTCCAGCATCAGTTTTGCATTCTTTTCAGATATGTCTTAGTACTCTGAGAAGGTTATGGAATTCAAAATCTTTTGACGTTTTCCTCTTATAATTGGCTTAAAAATATCCTCAATTATTATTTTCTAAATTCCGTTGAAACATTAACCAGAATTTCCATTGAGTTCTTTTTAGAATTTTCTGCTTATATTTCCTTGTATTTAAAATGAGCATTTCTTTAGAATTATACTCAGAAAAAACTGCCTTTAATTTAAATTAAAAACTTCTCCACACAATCCCTCAGAGTTATGTTGCAATTCAACAAGGGGTTCTTCTCATAACTCCCCAGGAATCGTTTTCAGAATCAACATAGAATTCTAATTCGAATTTGATTTAAATTATCCTGGAAAAGGAATCTTTCATGGTTATAATCTTCAAATGAGCTGAATCCATCATTTAGAATTTATTTTCCAGCATCTAGATAAAAAAACTTTCATGTTCAAGATTTCTTAAACAATTTAATTTCTAATTTTGCGTAGGATATATTTTTTAAATGCTCAAGTTGTACCCTTCTAACCTCGGGTAGGCCGCGAGTATTCGGCCCAACTCCTACTAGACATATAATTAAGTGAATTTTGTTTCAAACAAAGAACAATTAACTATTAGCTCCGTAATGCGAACGCGATTGAGCCTTCCAAATAAACGAACAAGATAAAAAACAGTACATACCATTCGAGTAGATTTTATGTAAATTAAATCGAGTAACCTTCTTTTTATAATACCAAAAGTTATGGCCCTTTCACACCAAGCAGACATTTTATGGAACTCTGAACCTTAATTCTGAATGATGTGTTGGTCATTTCCAATCTTCAAAAGTGAAAATATCAGAAAACATACACATCAAATTGCATCACGTAAAAAACGCTGTAGAAAATTACCCATTGGGTATTTTCTCTTGAAATTTTGGGTAGTAGTTGTTTAGAGTGTATTGCTTACACTTTATTTTTATCGCTGTCAGTTTTTTGAAAAGCTTAGTATACAGATCGAAGCAAAACGAAAATTGAAGCACGCGAAAAATCATGAAATTTCGCTAGCGAAAAAGGTTGTGAAAAAATGTTTGTGGAACATTTTCCAGTTTCCTTTTTTCGCAGTGTGAAACGAAATCGGTCAGTTTACACCTCCGGTGAAGTGAAAATCTGACAGATACGCTCTTTCTCGAAACGTCAACTTTTCGCTTACCTGCTGCTCTATTCGCTAGCGCTACATGCGCGAAAAAAAAAAATGAACGTAAGCGAAAAATATACGATCCACAAAATAAGATTTCGCTGGATCGTATCTGTTTACAGTTCAAAGCGAAGCGAAATATTTGCCAATTGCGTTTTTCACGCAGGTGAAGAATGTAGTATTTTGTATGAGATTTTCGCTTCGCTTCGATCTCTATGCAGGCCTAAAGTTGGAAAAGTTGGCGTCACCCGAAAAGCAACGTAGCGAATTGATTTTGCGTAAACACCTGGAAAATCATCAACTGTCTCATCGGGACATCAGAAAACAACTCGGAATCGTTTAGTCAACGGTGAGTCGTGTGATTAAACGTTACTATAAAACTCTGAGCATCAAAAAGAAGAAGAAATGCGGTCAGAATGGATGTTCTATTAGTGATCAGGATCACAAGCGTGTCGTGAAAGCGTTTAAGTGGAATCCCAATGCTTCGGTCAGGGATGTGGCCAAAAAGTTGAATCTGTCCAAGTCTTTTGTTCAGAGAGCCAAAGACCGGGAGGGACTGCATACGTACAAAGAGCAGAAGGCTCCAAATCGTGACGAACGGCAACATACAATGGGAAAGTCACGGGCCCGGAAACTGTACACCCAGATGCTGACGAAGCCTCATTGTCTCATCATGGATGATGAGACTTACGTCAAGGCGGACTTCCGGCAGCTTTCGGGGCTATTGTTCTTCACCGCCTAGCACAAGTTTGATGTTCCGGAGGATGTAAGGAAGCAGAAACTTTCAAAGTTTGCCAAGAAATACATGATTTGGCAAGCGATCTGCTCATGTGGCAAACGGAGTACGCCGTTCGTGACTACCGGGACTGTAAACGGGGAGATCTACCTCTAGGATTGTCTACAGAAGCGTCTGCTTCCTCTGTTGAAGAAACACGAAGGCCCTACGATCTTCTGGCCGGATCTAGCTTCGTGCCACTATTCAAATGTTGTCCTGGAGTGGTACGAAACCAACCGGGCTACTTTTGTACCCAAGGACATGAACACCCCCTCCCCTCCCTCCCCCAACGCACTGGAACTAATGCCCATCGAAAAATACTGGACTATTATGAAGCAGGCACTACGGAAGCATCCCAAGGAGGTCAAATTTGAAGAAACTGCAGTCAGATGTTGTACTGAACTCAATGAGTGGAGTTAAGCGTGAGGTGCGAGCGTACGGTTATGATATTGAAGTTGAATGAAATAAATATGTCAAAAGCTTAATAATGGGTTATATTTTAATGTCTGAAAGTTTTAAAAGAATCGGTCAACTAGGTAATTTTCAACAGCATTTTTTTCCGTGATGCAATTTGATGTGGGAAACCGTTTTTTCACGCTGGGTGCAGCAAATATAGGGTAAACATTTAATAAACGATTTGACTGAGTTTTGTTCTATAGGCAATAAGAAGTGGTACTGCAAGATAGCCATCATATCATTTATGTTTCAGTTTATGCATTTTTTCATGGATGAGAGCGTGAATCAATAGTAGTATTATTTTGAACTTTTTGCCACAGCTTGCTCTGTATGTGTATCTGGCAAGATCTCTAAAAATCTGGAATACTGGCAACGTTTATCAACATTTATATGGGATACATTTTTTTATCATTTTCTTCAATGTTCCAACCCCCAGATTTGTGCCATTAGGTGAGAACTACTATCTGAACATTTCAGCTTATTAGGATGTAACACGAGCTGGCGCTTTTGGAAAGTTTATATGAAGATTCGGGTTGAACTATATGGAGAAATAACATTCCTTCACTCTTTAGTGCATAGAACTGGTTCAGCAAACTCTTTTAAGCTTAGAATTTCAGCACATGTAGCTTAAAGTATAAGGAACAAATTTGCTGAAAACAACATCACGATTTAAGTTAGTATTATGGAGATACTAATTCTTGAATTTACATGTACATTTTGTTCGTATATTGCAACAAAATATAGGCAGCTTTTGCTACGTCTCATTTAGATTATCACTAGAAACTAAAGGTTCAATTTTTTCACGGACTAACATCCAGATAACCACTCTTTGAATGTTTCAGCTGTATTTGACGTAAAACGGGCTGGCGCTTTTGGTTTAATGTTTATACAGGGTGTTCGATTCCTTAGTGCAAATAATTTAAGGAGCATAGAAGAACATATTTGAAGGAAAAAAATGTTCTACGCATTTGATCAAATCTCAAAAATTACTGAGTTATTGAACTTTTTCTGTTTTGGTCTATGTTTGCCATAAATTGGACATCTTGGTAAATTTCCTACTTAATAGTGTCATTTTTACTTTAAGTAAGCTGCATAAAGACACATTTAGGGATAAACGAGTCTAGAACTTGTGTTTTCCAACGGGTTTTCCCTTATTATTTCAAAAAATACGTAATAAAGTGTACTGTTTTGTCTAACCAAAAGATGCCTCTCGATGCGCTCTACAACTCTCTCTTTGACACCAATTTTCTATCTTGTTTGTTTAGTTTTGTCGCAATTTCGTACTAAACACATCATATTGGGTCTTTAATTAACGGTTGCGTAAAACACGAATTCAACCCCACAGTGCGTTGCTGTTGACGTCTGTTTGCAGCGAGCATAGCACACTTGATCGTGGAGTGACGGTATGAAAAGTGCAATAAGTGAGACCAAGCAGAAAATTCAAAACAGAAACTTACAGCTTGCAGAAAACAAACATTTCCCGTTAATGTTTATCCCTCGATTATGTATCTAAATGCAGCTTACTTGAAGTAGAAACGACACTATTAAGTGCGAAATTTACCAAGCAGTCCAATGGAGGAAAGAGTTTTGTGCTAAATAGCATAGTTTTCGAGTTAGAGTCAAGTTATGGCAAGCATAGACCAAAACATTACTAAGTTCAATAACTCAGTAATTTTTGAGATTTGATCATATGCGTTGAACAATTTTTTACTTCAAATATGATCTTCTATCGCCCCTTAAATTATTTGCACTATGGAACCGAACACCCTGTATATGCGATTTGGATAAAATGTTCAAATACATAATGCTCATATGCATTCAAAAGCGAATATCTCAATCAATCTAACTGGATTCATGATATAGTCTTCAGTAGAGTTGTTACTCATTGTTCAACCTACAAGCTATGTAAATCTCTACCAAATTGAAAAAATGAAAACTTTTTAATAAACGAATAAGTAAAGGGGTGTCATTTTTTAATATATTTTAACCAAATATATTTAACTAAATTCAAACTAAAAGCGCCAACTCATCTTACAACAAAATGAGCTGAAACAAGCAGAGAGTGGTTTTGTCACCCAAAGGCACAAACCTAGGGGTTGGCATGTGAAAAATTTGAACTTTTATTTTGACGTAGGCTTACGTCTTTCGGCAACATATTGGGGGTGAAAATTCAAAAAACCAAAATCGACCGCGTTACGAAAAGTGGCCAGGTTTTGACTACTTAAAACTCTGTCAATAGCGGATGGATTTTAATTCCAAACAAGCCAATCGATTGGAATTTTTCTACGAATCTGCTAAAATGAACACTTTATCATTTTTAAATAGGTCACTTTTGAAAATTACACAAATGACCAACTGTTGCAATGGTGATCAAAACTATCACCGATTGCCTGCAAAAAGCGATTTCCCTAATACAATCGCCGAATAATACCGAGCACGTAATCCTACGTCAAATCTTCGGACGTGTCTTGGATACAACCTCTTACTTTTTTTTTGGGCCAGTCTAGTACAACATATATGACGCAGCATCCAGTTAAATATCCAAAGTTAAGCACCGATACTAACCTGATTATGCTGGTTCTGCTCTGCCATTGCCTTCTCCTTGGCTTGCCGTTTGCATTTGTATCGATGATTCTGAAACCATATTTTAACCTGCAAAAGAAGAAAGAGACGGGAAGCGAGACAAAAATCAGTTTCAGGTTTATGAGTCTTGTTTTCTTACAGCAGATTGGGTGTGTCGTCGCCGTCGGTTGGTTTGAAATAAGAAGGAAATGTTGATTTCAACCAGAGCCATCAGGAACGCGGGCAGTGAACCAAAGCGAAGACGCAATCGAGGGAAACAAGATGGCGTAGGCCGAAGGAAAAAGTAGACGTAGAGTCGAAAACGGGCAAACCAAAGGGAATCGTCCGCCGTAACTGTCGTAGATTTGCCGCAGTAGAGCAGTTTCCGAAAGAGACACACGAGAATGGCGCGAATCGTTTGAAAGTCGCGAGGGAAAAAAGAGAGCGTTGCAAGGTGTATTCAGACCTGAGCGTGCCTGAGCGGAGCGGATGAGGAAGACAATCAGTGCTTTTCTCTCTCTCTCTCTTACCAACGCAAATCCCGCCCCGCGTGTGCCAATATCGTTCATGTCTGAATACAGCTTTATTGACGCGCCTTATTGTGTGCGCAAGAGCTGTAAAGAGCCATCTTCAGACCTCTTTCTGTGATTCACGTGCATACTCGCGTTGAGGAGGAACTTTTTTCGATGTTTTCTTGCAAACCTGCAGAGTGCCAAGCACCACACTGACTGTGGTGGTGCAGTACGCGGCAGCATTTCGTTTCTTCTCGAGTATCATGGCGTTTGTGTACACCTCGCACCCCACACCATTTACATGTCTCACCGGGTACGGAAGTGAACGCCAAGTGTGTTGCCTATGTAGGGCGCAAAAGTTTCACGAGCTTCAAAGTGTTCTAATTTCATTAGTGCCCCAGTGTAGGAATGTAGGAGGGCTACGTGTTTGATGGAATCGTCAGCGCCACCATCTCTACACGCGAGGTGTACCTAGTTTATTAGGCTCCTCCGACAATCATACTTTCGGTTCAAGTAGACTGAAATTTCTGTTCGAGGGGTTGGAAATGCTTCAGCTTGAGCTTCTTCGTTTCGGTTAAGTTTAACCGGAAGCAAGAGGTCCCGCATAAACGCGAAACATAATTTGACCTTACCGAAAATGTTTAAAAATTCTTTATAATCCCTGCTGAACTTTAACTGAAATGGTTATGGAACTTTACAAGAACGTTTGTGTGATAAAGTTTTAACCTTATGTGTTATGGTTTTTTGGAAGTTGACCTATAAATAATGGGTTGTTAAGAACCATTACCATTCCTAATTCTTGTTTCTCCATACATTTTCGGAAAGTTAACTGTTAGAACCTTTTTATTTATGATTTTATAACTTTAATTGTAATGGTTATGGTAGCCGGTAAGGTTCATAGATGGTTTTGTAACATCGATCAACTTTATGTGGAGTATATCGCGAATTGGTAATCAGTAATTTACAGATAACCAATTCGCGATATATTCCACATAAAGTTGATCGATGTTACAAAACCATCTATGAACCTTACCGGCTACCATAACCATTACCATTAAAGTTCTCAAATGATAAATAAAATGGTTCCAATATAATTCCTTTCCCAAAAATGCATGGAGAAAACAATGATTTGGAATGGTAATGGCTCTTAACAACACATTATTTGTAAGGTTCATTTCCAAAAAAAAAACATAATATATAAGGTTAAAAATTTATCACACAAACGTTCAGGTAAAGTTCCATAACCATTTCAGTTGAAGTTTAGCAGGAATTATAATCAATTTTTAACCATTTTCGGTAAGGTCTAGTAATGGTTCGCATTTATGCGGGGTGTTCCTCACTCGGTTTGTCGATTTATGTGGGCGGGAATGGCTTGAAAATTTTGTATCAATTGCATTCGCATCATTCCTTTTTGTGGACTTCGTGGGAGATTTTAAGAATGTTATGCCATTCGTCCTAGTCTTAAGCCAAGTACACTACCCGAGCAAAGTCGGTTAACAAAATGAAAGCAAATTGATGTGCCGATGATGAATGAATGAAAACTCATTTTGATTTCATTTGTCGCGACATAAGTCTGATATCATATTGTGCTTTCATTATGCAGTCAAAAGTTGTTTAATTGAAAGCAACTTAACTTCAAGTTCTGCTAATAAAGTCTCGTTGAAAATGTAATCTAAATTCATATGTCGTTGAACTAACGATTATTGTTTATTTGTTTGATTTAAAACATTTTAGTTCATTCGTGACTTGGCCGGGGTGAGATTTGAACTCAAGTCTTTCAGCGTGAGAAGCATGAATACTAACCATTTACGCCAGGCCAGTATTCAGTTCAAAATGATGAATGCAAATTCAGTAATCAAATTGATTTAATTGAAAGCAAGATTAGTTTTCTGTTTGATTCAACAGTGTAAAATGTTGCTCTCATTTTTGCTGTGTTAACCGTTGGTTGAGTCAACCAAAATTAGATCAACTGGAGTATTCAAAATAAATTACATCATAGCAGAAAATTTTGATTGCAATTTGATCTCCAGCTTTGCTCGGGTAGCGTGCTTTGAATGAATGGAGAAAGCGATGTCAAAAAACTCGCTCTAGATTACTCTCAAACTTGTAAAATTCATGTGCATCAGTTTATCGTGCTCCTAAGGCCCAAGAACAGGTATTTATTTTTTTCCAAATAAATTTTAACGGAATACCGTGTAAAGATAGATGCGCGCAACTTGATTCGCTAGCTCGAAGTGACATTGAAGTAACAATGGCATCCTGGTGATGGGGATGAAAACAATGATCATTTTATTGTATCCAATGCAAGCGCTGGTTCTAAACTTTAATTTTCAGGCGGTTTTGACCCAATATATTTTTGCTAAAATGAGTTATATCCACCGTTTCTACATACCCCTTTTTTCACATGCCCCTTACGTGGATCATGATTTAGGCTTATAGGGTGCTTTAGAAATAACATGTCCAGCCCTTTGGTCACGTCTTATTTTGGAAAGGATAATCGTAAAGCCGCATATCGCATGCCAAATTCTCTAACGTTTTCGATCATATTGCTCACATATTCATACATTTTTTAGACTCAGTTTTGAGATGTTCCGCCGCGGAATCTGAAATAGAACAGTAGGTAACTGCATTTTATATTTCTGTTTCAAGGTGTCGAAAATCTGAACAAGCCCTATTTGACGGTCAACTAAGTCACCGTTCACAACAAGAGGTGATATAATCCTTTGGCCCCGAGGATGAGTTTCTCATGCCAAATAGGTTTTAAATAGATATTTCATGAAAAAAGAAAGAAAACACAAAGCAAATTTTCTTTTCACCCGATTGCCACGGCACTTGAAATTCCATTCCAGCCCGATCGAAATCCTACTGCGCCCGGCGAACAATGTTCCTCGGTTCTGTAATCTGATTAATATATTTTGTTATTATACTCCTTTTTCACGCGTGCATGTACAAAGTGCTTGCGGTCCAAAAATAAAAAAAAAACTCAGCAGGCCATGAAGCGCAGGAGGTATCCTCTTGGACGAACAACGGAATATATGGAAGTAGAAAAAAAATACATGCCTAGTCGAGGGTGAACAGAAAAACAAGCATCCTCGAGACGCAGCAGCGGTTCACCCTATTGTGTGATCACGGTTGCGTTGTAATTGCAAGAAAAGCTGCTTTTTGCGGCATGCTAAAATGAAAAAAAAAAAACTGGGTCTACCTTCTGGTTGGCTTCACACTAAATCGCAATCGCTGTAAAAATATTACGCTAGAGTTGTCTGACCGGGCTTCAAGAAGTCCTCTTATATGATTCGCAACCCGACGGGAAGTCGCAATTGTTGTTGAGTTTGCTTCTGACTCACCCAGCAAATGGGTTCCTAACCTCTTTAAGGCTCTTAAACTGCTGGGAAACCTTCTTTTATTTTTGTTACAGCAGAAGGAGTTTATGTTTGTGTGATTGGATTAAAGTAGAGCAGCTGTTGAGGTGGGCGATATTAAGGTGATGATGATAGCATTATAATGAAGATGAGAACACTTTCTTAATGCCCTGTCGTATTTGGTTTAGTATGAATAGTATAAATTTAATTTATGCATACTTTGTTAGATACATTGATTGCCAAAAAGCCAACTTTGCTATGTTAATAGATGAACACCGATTCCAACGACATTGTGGTTTATGGAATCGTTGGAGCGCGTAAAAGCAATATCTTTTGAGTTACATTTATTTCAGACCGCAAAATTAATGTGTATTTCATGGAGGCAAGTAAGCAATTAATCAACTGATGATCCAAACATAATTGACTATAATTGATAAAGTATAATTTGTAGTAATTAGGCATGTTTCAAAATATATCGGTAAAATTTGTATGACTTTGTAGCTGTCAGTCACACCAAAAGTTTCAACTATGTATGAGGTATGCGGTATGAAAACCCTACACAGCGAAACAAAACGAAATTTTGGCTAAAATTGTACAGAAACTTTCACCATTTGGATTTTTCACCTGTGGTTCTGTAAGACCTTATGAAACCAAATTTTTGCATAATTTACTTAATATTTTGTATTTCCGGCAATAACCATCAGAAACAGCAAATCCGGAGTTATTTGAGATTTGGGTGTAATTGCATTTGTAAACAAACACGTCAATCACCGATTTCTCGCGAATAAAAGCTCAATCTCGAAAAGTTATAACACTATGAGGTAGAGGAATGATTCCTCTATCATTTGGTATAGTTTGTTTGTGAGATTGAGCTTTTATTTAAGAGTAATCAGTAATTGACGTGTTTGTTTTCAAAAGCAATTACGCCCAAATCTCAAATCACTCCGGAAATATTGTATACAACTGAGAGATCTAGCCCGCAAAACCATTTTCCACAATTCTGCTGTTTTCATAGCCATCTTATATCAATGAGCTGGATTACCGAGGTGAAGCAATCGGTTAAGTTGTGTGAGTAAAACCCCTGTACGATACAAGCAATTAGTGACGTCACTACTTGCGTTTACGTTGATTTTTTAGTTTACTAATACAACCTTATTTCACGATCTGCTTCACCTCTCTCTGTATCTCATTGATCTTAGATTGCCAGTTCAGAGAAAAAATTGCATTTGGCGTCAGATTTGACAACCGAAATTGACAATCGTCACTGACAGCTGCTTTTGGGATTTTCGAACACTGAACCAAAATCGTACCTTGAAGACCGAGTTGTAGACCTTGTTCGCATTCAAACTTTCAAAACAACAATTCAGATGGAAGTTCGCAAGATAAATTAAACAAAACTGGAGCTATTTGAATAAAAAAGTAAACTAAAACTGCATTTCAGCGCATTGGCACAAGAAGATCCTCCAACCAACCTATGGACTGCTACACTACTTCATTTCATGAGGAGACCCGTCTCCATAATTATTTAGTAGACTCTAGGGTTACATGTGGTTCCAGTATAGCCTGATTGATATAACTGATAATCCAGTGGATCGGGTCGATTGCATCAAGAGGGTTCGATCTGTCTTCAACCGAGGCTTCAAAGAATGATAGTTATTATCCGGTTGTGGTTATGTTTAATAGCTGCGGATGTTGCTTCTTCTTATTTGTGAAATGTCTATGCATGCTATGCAAATGTAAGATTCGCTTACAATTAATTATGTGGGATTCATCATCAGCGGATTTTAGTGAAGACCGCATGAACCGAGGATGCTGCGGTCCAATGCAAGAAAATTGGAGACCGAAAAATGTGGAGTGTATTATTGAGTGAAATTAATTATGTCGAATAAATAATAAGGACCGACTG